CCTAGAAAAATGCCATCTTACATTTACATAAGTACCTGTACATAAATGTGTCTAGAAGCTATTCACAATCATCAAAGTCTAGAAATCACCCAAGTGGTCTTCAGTGGGTGATAAGAGTATAGTACATCCATTCAACGGAATACTACTCAGCAGGAAAGGGAACTATCGATACACACCACAATATGAATGCATTTCAAATGTCTTATGCTACAAGAGAAGCCAGTCTCAAAAAATTACATACTGTTCCATCCTTTTACATGGCATGCTGGGAAAGCAAAATAACCATGGAGACACAGAACAGATTAATGACTGCCCTGCATTAGGAGTGGAGAAAGGATTTGACTACAGGACAGCGTGATGTTTGGAGTGAGTCTGATTGTGATGGTACTTATGAGTTTAGACATGTTAAAATGTGGAGAACTGTGTGCTCTCAAAACCCATATATTATAAAAAGATTTTGTAAGAATAAATTGAAAACCTGAGAGTAGATCTCCTTTAGCCTCAACCTTCAACTCCAGCCCCGTACTTCGGGGGCTGTGTCCTTAACAATTTCTGATTTTAACTTTTACTAGTATGTAATTGTTAGGGTTTGTATCTAGAGGTCCCCCCAAGGCTTCATGTGGTCATAGGTGGGGCTTTTTGGAGGTGGGTGCATCTGGGGTGTGTGATGTTGGGGTCATGGATGTGATGCTGGGATTGATTCATGGTGCAAAGCTAGGATTAAGTTGTGAGTGCCACCTGCCCTGAAAACCCTGCCTGCTCTGGGATCTCACGGGCGTACTTGCTCCATGTCCCACTAAGCAAGCCACTGTCCTCATCGACTTCTCCACTGTATGCCAGGCAAGTGTTTTTCTTTCTTGGGTTCCCTGTCATCTTTTCTCGGATTCCTTTCTTGTTTTCTACAACCCATTCCCAAATATCTTATCAAGATACGAGGTGAATTGCAAGTCCTTACATGCTGAAAAACGCCTTTTTCGCTTCTCACTCTTGGCTCATTGGTTGGACACAAATATAAGAGACAGAAAGAGGATCCTTGGTTGTCACTTGTCGCTTGTGGCTTGCTGCTGCTTGTCTTCTGCTGCCTCTTTCCTGCTGGGCGATGCCCCTCTGCCATGCTAGCTAGCCTCGGAGCCAGCCCATTATGGACTGAAACCTCTACAAACTGTAAACCTAAATAAACCTTTCCTCCCTTAACTTTGGGTGTCGGGTATTTTGTCTCAGCAATGAGAAAGTAATTAAGACAGCACTAAAACACAGACTAATAGACAGTATATCACTAGGATGGTATCTATTACTAATATAAATTATAAAGAAATTATAGTTACTTTTTACCTTCCTCACTTCCAGTTCATTTCCTATTTATCATGTCTATGGTTCAGTGTTTTCCTTGTACTATGTTGTGTCTAAAAATAGATCAATAGGATTTACACTAAGATCATATAAATATTATCACAATAGTATCATTAAAGTATGCTCAGTCTGAAAGAGAAAGAATATAAGGACATACTTTGTATCCTTGAAAAAAGTATTCCTCAGGTTCAAATCTTCTGCATGTCAAGGTGGGTTGGACAATCCTATCACATCCCATGAATGGTTCATTGCTGCCCTTCTTGTTGGCTTTGATTTTACCAAGGCCTTCTTGCTCTTTCTTTCTTTCTTTCTTTCTTTCTTTCTTTCTTTCTTTCTTTCTTTCTTTCTTTCTTTCTTTCTTTCTTCTCTCTCTTCCTTCCTTTCTTTCTTTCCTGTAACCCAATGGGCCTTTTTTTTACAAAAGTGTAAGCCCTTAGCCAATCTCTAAGCCTCCACCTTCTTAATCATACTACGTCCAGGGAGTCCTCTCTCCTCACTGAAAACCAGCTCTTCTGCCTGCTCTGTGATCTCACAGGCATACTTGCTCCTTGTCCCACTAAGCAAGCCACTGTCCTCATCGACTTTTCCACTGTATGCTAGACAAGTGCTTTTCCTTCTTGGGTTCCCTGTCATCTTGTCTCGGATTCCTCTCTTGTTTTCTGCAACCCATTCCCAAATATCTTACCAAGGTACGAGGCAAATCGCAAGCCCTTACATTTACACCTGCTGCACTCGCTTGTTCCGATGGGAACATGTGTCTGCCAGTCTTTGTCATTTATTTCAACTTCTCGTCAAGCTTTGGTAACTTCCTTCTCCCTGGCATTTCCCGATTTCTCTAGTGTAACTGAACACGGGCATTTTATGCATCTTGCCAGCACAAAGGCCTTCAGGGTTTTGGATCCTTCCTTCATTTTCTTTGTTCCCCTCTGTATGAGTTTTCCAGAGCTGTCATGACACAGTGCCACCAAATGGGTGGCCACTCACACAGAAAGTCCTGTCCTCACTGTTCCTCTGGCTGGAAGTCCAAGATAAGGTGCCAGCACAGTTGGGTTCTTCCAGGGCTGCTTGCCTTAACTCGGAGGTGGTCATCTTGTGTCTGTCTCCACATGGTCTTTCCTCTACGCATGCTCCTGTCCTAATCTCTTTTTCATATAAACACACCAGCCGTACCGGCTTAAACCCCACCCTAACGACCTCACTTTACCCGTCTGAAGACCTTTTCTCCAAATCAAGTCACATCTTGAGGCGCTGGGAGTGAGGGCTCCAGCATGTGAATCTGAAAGGGTTATACGTCAGCCCTTGACACCTTTCAGATTTTTGGCTTGTCCTTCTGTCCTGCCCCACACAGACACAGCTGTCCTAGAGGATCTGGAAGGAGATATGCTGCTTGTGGTCACTTGGTCCTTCCCTGACCTTTGCGTTTATTCTGAGCTGTCATCCCCTCTAGGGTTTCCTTTTTGCCTTGGAATGGTTTTCATTGCTTTGATGGAAATTTTGGCAATTTTGGTAGGGAGGGGTCTTTTTGAGACAGGGTCTGGCTATGTAGTTCAAGATGGAATTGTGCTCACTTCCAAGGTGGTCTCGAACTCACAGTGATCCTCCTGCCTCAGCCTCCCTAGTGCTGGGGTTACAGGCATGCGCCACCATGCCCAGCTTGGCAATTTAGATCGTGGTATCCTTTCTTGATCTGCTGCTATAAAAGCTTAATTACTTAAAAAATTTTCTCTTTGATGAAATCTTGAAAAAGAAGAGAGATGTGTGAGTTTGGTAACCTATCACCCTCACCATCATTACCTATGTGGTAAAAGATAAATCAGAGACTTTTTTCTATTAACTGACAACATCACATCCTTAAGGGATCAAAGGTTTTATTATTTCAGTAATGTCCTAGATTTAAAAAAGGGGGAGATCTCGAAAATGGATGTCAGACAATAAGTAGAACAACTTCAATAATTTCATGAAGTCAGACTTCTGAGTAATTTGAATTAAAAGAAGAATATACACATTTTAAGTAAATGGAATCCTTCTGATTACATGGTATTGGTAATTTGCAAGATTTAAACAATTACCTTAAATTGGCCTTTAAATAAAGTAGCAATTCTTTTGGTCAAAAATTAGTTGAGAATTTGATTGTTTAGCTTTCTTATGTATTCTTAAACATTACATATTGCTACATATTATATGTATTCATGAATATTGTTTTATAATATTATAGATAATATTATAAAATGTATTATTTTCATACTTAGCCATATTGATATGTGCTTCCCTTACCCATTCACTTTACCATTGTATAGTATTCATTGCATGGATATACCACAGTTTATTTACCCAATCTACTATTCAAGAAAATTTAAGTTATTCCTATTTTTCCAAATAATACCACACTCCACATTCTTACCTTTTTCTTTGTCCATATACAGGAAGTTTCTCTAGGGCAGTGGCCCTTTAAACTTCTCATCATCCTTGATAAAAATATGTTGATCATGCACCCCAGATGTATAAATATGGTATCCTTTACAAATTACATGTAAAAACCACTGTGTCACATTAATATGTGTCACAAAGCTGATAAAACTTGGCCCCATATCTTATGGGCATGAACTTTCAATAGTTCTTTACAGAACTTAGACATGCACTATTATTTCCCATTCTCTACCTTGGATGATCAGCTATGAGCCCTCACTCACCTGTTCAGTAGGGAAAAACCAACCGGTCTTATGTTATGTAGCACCTACCTCATCCCCTGAGTAGTTTAAGAATTTCAGAGTCTTCTACAGCCTGCACCACCTAAGGCAGTGATCTCTAATCACCTGCCCTTCCTGTTCACCACCTTTGTGGTTCACCTGGTTCCATGGGAGGTTTAGGCACAGGGGACTCGGACTGGAAGTCTGTCACGAGGGCCAGAGCTTGTTGGGTATCCACTCCTTCCTGCATTTCAGCAGGGTGCTGGTCAGTGTCACTCAAGAGCCACATTGGTCTCCACCATCTATGAGCAGTTTCTTTTTTTTGTTTTGTTTTGTTTTTTTGCTTTTTTCTGGTACCAAGAATCTAACTCACAACCTTGCTCCTGCCAGGCAGGTGCTGTGCTGCTGAGCTAAATCCCCAGCCCCATGAAAGCAGTTTCTTGAAACTGTCTCTGCAATCCCTGCCAAGGTCCCCCTTTGCCCCTGGCTTCTGGATGTAAAGGAAACAACAGGTTTTGCTCCCTACCCCTTAAAAGAATCTCTGCCTGGGGTGTCTTCCAGGTACTGGGCAACTTCTGGTCTTGGTCCTTCACCTCTTTAACACTAAAGCTTAAGGAGCACCAAGGCATGGCTGCCTATGGAGTAAGGAAAGGATCAGTATTTATTTCAGTGCCTACTTAACTGTCCCCAAATATTGTTGTACTAGTAATATTTACAAAGTACTCAGAAGGTACCTGACATGTATAAACACTGAACACATCCTCTTAGGGGTGCTGTCATGACTTGAGTGCACAAGGGCAGACCTAGGGTTGCTAACTTTCTGCCTTTAGACCTTAGGAACTTTCTGGAAGTATATTCAATCCTTCAAAACTGGTAGCATAGCCCATTGTCAGGTGCATGTCCTATAACCTAGAATATACTATTCCACGGTTTACTTATAAGGCAGCTGGTCCTCTGTTTCAGATTTGTAAATACTTTTAACAACGTGGTCAACATCACAATGAGCGGGCAGGTTTATGAAGATGTCACCAGTTACAATGCCAGCGAGTATCGGTTTTTTTCCTCTGGCATGTAAGTACCTTTCCTCGACACGCTCCTCGAAAATTCAAGGGTATCAAGACTTTTTCTTTAAAAAATACGCTGAAACTTTTAATGCCAAGACTATGAACCTATTATTCTTTATTCTTTCTCTTAATAGAAAAAACTTCACAATAAGCTCAACAGAGTTTCCACAAGCATGTTCACGGGATTTTCAGTCTTCCAACCTTGGATTCGGTAGCGCTTACACCTACGTGATTGAAAGGCAGGTCAGTAGCTCTGTCCAGCCTATCAGAAGTTCTGCTCGGCCTTTACTGACATGAGCGCTCAGAAACATGTAGGGCAGGGCCAGGGATATAGCTCAGCAGCCCAGCGCATGCCTGGCAAGTGCAAGGTCCTGAGTTCGACTCCCAGTACCAAAAAAAAAAAAAGAAAGAAACACGTAGGGCATACCCATAGAAGAATATTAGGATCTCTATTGGAAATGGTCAGAATTAATTCAACTCACCACTCATTCTTCAACTTATCGTTAATTAAAATTATCCACTAAAATAAGGTCCAGCAGATTGATTTACACTGACAGGGAGTTCATGTTGTCCAATAGCACGTGCTTCCGTATAGACTATAAGCATGCACTTGAGGAACTTATACTTCAAAGAGAAACCAATGTTTTTAACAAATCTGACTTCCGATCTACTCTAATTTAAGAGGAAAATATTACTGCACACATTTTCAGTGTATCCAAGGCCATCCCATCCCAAGTAGAGGAGGCAGGGTTGCACACCTACGTTTAGACTGTGTACTTCCGTGTTAAATTGCACAGCAGCATGCCTGTTTGAACGGTTGTTGAAGAAGCAATCTTGACTTCAGTTTCAACTTTCCGCCTTTGCCTTAATGCTCTAGAGTAACGGCTGCCCTGGAATAAGGCAATTTGAAGATATTTCACCCAACACGGTCAACATGGCTCTGCAGATCCCGCAGTACTTCCTCCTCACCTGCGGCGAGGTGGTCTTCTCTGTCACGGGCCTGGAGTTCTCATATTCTCAGGTTTCTTGCTTATTGTTTTTTACCACCCTCTCCTAACCCCCTGCCTTCAAAAATGCTTCTGAGATGTCATTTAAATCTTAAAGCACTGCGTGTTTATAGTTTTTAAAAATTCTACAGAGTGCTCTATCTTCTACAGAACAAGGGCTTTGAGATTTGAGAAAGATCAGAGGCCCTTCCTGAATAAGAACACTAGTCCATCACCCTGGCACTTCGTGGCCTTGGCAGGGGCTGTAGCTCAGTGGGAAAGCCCTCGCCCAGAGCATACAAGGTCCTGGGTTTGATCCCCATCACCACTTAAAAAAAAACACATAGAGAGTTTAGAGTCCTAAGTAAAAAAACTGTATTAGTGATTGCCAGTATGGTCATGATAGTAGATTAAACGGCAAAATGGTACCAACTACCTATAAATGTGCTCGTTACAGATCTGTGTCCTCAGTATGTAAGATTCAGTGCAGGTCAGTGTAGCTCCCAGCAAACACAGCCAGTAAGACCCAGCTTTAAGCACAATCTAAAATATATTGCTTTTAAGTATATTTGACAAATGAGGCAAATTTTGATACTTCGGTTATAGCTTAATTTCTGAACTATTTTATCGAAACTGCAGTTATGATCATTGTATCCCACAATTTCTTGTACCTTCAATTATGGTAATTAAGATAATCCCTTCCTGTGATGACTTCATAGTCTAACAGAGGCATTGAGGAGGAGAGTTTGAAGCAGGCTTTCGGCAGCTCAGCAGGGAGGCCTCAGGTGAAAAGGCCCGCAGCCCAGAGAGCACCCTCCTGCGGGAAGATGCGCTGGACGGCTGGGCTTACAAGCTCTGCTGCAGCAAGATCTGTAGATCTGTAGGTCGGTACGTTTTCCTAAGAGGACCACTCTGCTGGTGTCTGGAGAGGGACGCCCATGGATTCCAGGATGCTGAGCAGCAGGAGGGGTCGGGAGTCAGGCTATCCAAGGGAAAACCCCTTTCGTGCTGAAACAAATCGACCTTTAATGGTGCACACGTTGAAGGCAGACTGCTCGATGAAGTGAGTTGGTCGGTGGTGTTCCGCTCTGAGATGGAAATCGAGATTGGGGCTCACCTCACTTTGTTTCCTCAGGCTCCTTCCAACATGAAGTCAGTGCTTCAGGCGGGGTGGCTGCTGACGGTGGCTGTCGGCAACATCATCGTGCTTATCGTGGCAGGGGCCGGCCACTTCAGTGAGCAGGTACAGGCTGGAGGAGGACGTTGGGGGTCCTGTCTTATGCAGCAAAGGCCATCCCTGTGACCCTCCCTCACCGTCTATAAACACACGGTCATTTGGGTAACAGTTGGATAACGTTGCCAAATCAACCAGACAGGCTGTCACCAGTAGCCTTGTGGCTAAGAGTGTACTGATTCTGATTTCCCCTAGTGTTGTACAACCAAAATAACCAGACTAAGTTCAGTCCACACGTGCTAATGTGGTTTCCTATCAAAGGAGTCATCCTTCCTGGCGTTAATGGGTACAACCCACTCACCCTGAACTAGGCACATTTTCTAGAAACTTCCATAATACCTCAAGTGAAGCCATTCTTGAAATGGTGACAATTTTTCTGGCTAAAATAAAAGGGGGGATTTTCCGACACTTAAACTCATCCCTTCAGCACTGCGGCACACAAGCTCTACCTCTACATTCTGTCACCACAGCCATTTCATTGCCCCCCACGCCAGATCCCAACAAAGTGTGTGCGAATGCTGCACGCTCAGAAGCGTGAGGGGTCACCGAGGGGTAACTTGGTAGAATCCAGCACATTCTTTCCCCACAAAGGGCCGCTCGGTGTTCCTTGGGGTCCGTGGCATCAGCCATGTGTCTTAAGACTGAAGTGTGCGAGAAATTCTCTTCCATCTTCCATTCGTGCTGCGTTGCTGTGCCCTGGGCTGTCAGGAAACATAATCCGCTACTCACGCACTCAGGGAAACCTGGCCAATCTCTCTCTGCACTCCTTGCCTACCACCTTTCCATGAGAACTTAATTTCAAGGTGCCTTGCACCCAGACTGCCAAGAAAATGCACGTGTAATATATGCACTGATACGATTTGTATTTTTCTTTTTCTTACTCCATCTCTGATTCCTCCGAAGTGGGCTGAGTACATCCTCTTCGCCGCATTGCTTCTGGTCGTCTGCATCATATTTGCCATCATGGCTCGATTCTATACCTACGTGAATCCAGTGGAGATTGAAGCTCAGTTTGACGAGGAAGAAAAGAAAAGGAAGGCCGAGAAGAGTGACCTGTACCCCACCTTGGAGTCGGTTTCGCAGACAAAGATGTGAAGGTGAGGAAGCTCGTGGAAGACACACCGAGCCAGCTTGTGCCTTGGCCTTTGTTCCCAGCGGGCAGGACACGCCACTGGATGGCCCTTCATGGGAAGACTTTGCAGTTGTGAACCAAACCCAGAAAGCTATTTTCCAAGGAGCCAGCAATGAACCCAAAATTCTAGAGGAGATCTCTTTTTGTAAGTCTTATTTAAAACACACACAGCCTCTTTTTTAACAGAGAATATACCTTGCATTTAATAAGTCCTCTCTTGCTACACAAATTAAATGAGTTTGGACTAAGTTAATTGTGAAAGGGTAACAGAGTTCCATATTTTTTCCGAATACTCTTATGAGAACAATGTTAAATGAGAAGATGCTAACGCCAAAAGTGAACTTGCAGGTGTACGACAAGTGCCAGCTGTACTGACTGATGACTTCCTGTTTTTCTAATCCCTACCTCTTTTTAAATTATGTATAACTCAAAAGACAACTCAATGAAGGCCAGTAATGATGTTGGAAGTTTCAATGATGTGAAATAAATTCTTATTCTTAAGAGTGAGTGTTTTTGTGTCTTTGGGTAAGGTAAGAGATCTTTAACATGCTCTGTAGCTCTAAAAGCACTCTATATGCATTAAATTTCATCAGAAGCAGTGAAAGCATTAACAAAAGCAGGGCCCACATAGGAGAAATCCTGGGGACATGACACATCAAAGTGTGTTTCCTCTTGGTCCTACTTTTCCCAGGGGGAAAAAAATCTGTGTCTCATATGTGCACATCTCACAGTGCTTTTCTCAGTACTGATAAGCATTTTTCTGTTTGAAATAAAAATTCTTCCAGAACATTGTAGACACTCAATGCCTAATTTATGCTACAGATATTGATCATTTAATCATCCCAGATATCAGACCCAGAATGATTTCCCTTTCACATTCTTCTGCAAACAAGGATTGATTCTGAAATAAACTTGTACACTGCTCTGAGGGCTGAAACTGGTACCAGCTTAGGAGAACAGTCCATGTTTGACCTCAAAGATGCTTCAACCCCGGCTCGCAGTTTCTCCGTGGAGGCTACCTGGAAGCTGAGACGCAGTCCAGGGTGAGAAAAGCAAATATGATTCATCAAAGCCTGCTTCATTCCTTGGGATCAGGTCCTAATTCCTTAGCTAGAGCCCAGGAGACTCCTTTTCCTCTCAGCAAATTTTATTTCTCTCCACATACTCCAGTCCAACTAACATTGAGCTTCTCTTCCTGGAATGCCTCAAGTTCTCAACCCAGGTCGAAGGAAAAAAATTCCAGCTCCTGGGCAAAATTCCAGCTCCTGGGCAAAATTCCAGCTCCTGGGCGCATTTTCTCCGGTCAGCCTCGTTCCCCTCCACCTGGCTGAGCCTTCGCTTTCAGACCACTTCCTGCGAGAGTTTTCCTGTCGCCCCACCATGCCACGTTGGGCTGTGTTCCGCTTCAAGCTCCCGTAACACACCATGGTACTCTCAGCCCTCCATGGACCGCGGCTGTGTCACTTTCCCTGCATGGAAGCTGCGTGTATATCTTGTTCACTACCGTCCTGAACATGGTGGTCTTCTACTTGTTAAGTAAATGTCTTCAATACCTTGGGCTATGCCAAGTGAGAGGGAGGAGGCAGGGGAGTGAACAAATGATTATAATTTAATCAGATTATAAGTTGAATGAGCCTAATAAACTCTAATGTAAAAAAAAACTAGTTATAAGGGACCACAAATTTTACTACTTCGATGGTTTCTACTTTACATTTTGTGGCCTTTATTGGGAAAAGCCAGTAGCTACAGGAAAGAGATGAGCCTCAGTTTCCATTGTCTTACCTTTTTTTTTTGGTGGTCCTGGCGATTGAATCCAAGGCCTTCACACTGAGCTACATGCCCAGCCCCAATTTTTTTATTTTGAGACAAGGTCTCACTAAGTTGGCCAGGCTGGGCTCAAATTTGTAATCCTCCTGTCCCAGCCTCCCAGGGTGCTGGGATTCCAGGCGTGCACCACCACACCCGGCCCCATCGTCCTGCTCTTAACAATAATCACAAGTGCTAACCCTAAGTCCTTGAAAGAGGTTTAAATCCTAACTTGTTTTCTAGCTACTTGCAGCGTTGGGCAAGTCTTCATCTCTTAGATCTCGTTTCTTGTCCTGTGAACACCTGACAATCTGAGGACTTGGAAATCCTTTGCTTGAAGGTACCCAGAACACAACAGACTTCCAAACATTTGAACGAGCAAGATCTGATGTTAGGGGCTGGGGATTTAGCTCAGCGGCACAGCGCCTGCCTGGCAAGTGCAAGGTTGTGAGTTTGATTCCTGGTGCCAGAAAAAAACCAAAGGGAAAAAAAAATAAAAGATCTGATACTAGCACTGTAGTGTGCTCTGTGCATGGATGCAAGTGACACGGCGACAATCCTCATCAGCCTTCAAAGGACATGAGGAACACACAGAGGGAGGCCTGCGCACTGCCCTTCAGCGTTTACTCTTTGGTCTCCTGCCTCTGGCTCTTGACCACTTCTAACCACAACCGAGACCAGCTGATACCGGTATCATGCAAATGCTCTGTTTGCAAGACCAGACAGCAGCAGTTGTCATGGGGTAGGCATGGTGGAAGAAAACACAGGCCTTTCCACTTTTTCCTGACAGTGTGTGTGTGTGTGTTCACACCATTCAATTCTGTGAAGATCGGTGTATGATCCTGGTAGTACAGGGATGTGAACATGGGCTGCATGTCCAGTACAATGCTGCGATGGGGTGGAGGAGGAACATCACCTTTTCCCACCTCCCTCCTCTTCCCTCCATCTCTTGGCCCCTGGAACAGACTTCAAAGTTTCTACCACAAATCCAGAATATTTTTGGAAATATTTGCATACTACCTATAAATCTTTTTTCCACTTCAGCTTATTTTTGTTTTATCTCTACATTTTTTCCTTTTACTCTCTGGATAGTTCTTATTTCAGGGTACTAAAATATTTATTTTGAAAAGAGCAAAAGGGCCAGGGATATAGTTCAGCAGCACAGCACCTGCCTGGCAAGCACAAGGTCCTGAGCTTGAATCCCGGTACCAAGAAAAGAAAAGAGCAAAATAAAAATATAGATAATAGGAGACAGGAAGATAGATCTTTTGAAAATGGGAGGGGAGCCAGGAGACAGGGGAAGGGGGAGGGAGGTGGGAAAGGGGAGCAGAAAGAAGGAAGATGTGCTGTGTACGCACCCACTCCCCTCGAGGAATGCAATCATTACGTACCGCAGACATGCACTAATAAAAATTAAAACTACTTATTTTGAAGGTTTCTAAGCTGTACACAGTTACTTTAGTAAATGTACGTTCAAGTTTGATTTTTGTTGACTATTTTAGCTGTGAATTTTGCTGTGAATTCTAGGTTTTCTTTCTGTCTGTCTGTCTTTCTTGGTACTAGTGATTGAATCAGGGCCTTCACACTACGCTACATCCCCATCCTGCTTTTTTTTATTTTGAGACATGGTCTCACTATGTTGCCCAGGCTGGGCTCCAACTTGTGACCCTTCTGCCACTGTCTCCCCAGGTGCTGGGATCACAGGTGTGCACCGCATGCCTGGCTTGTGTCCTCACTTTCCTTAGGGACAAACAATGGTGGTCAGCACGCACCGAGCCCTGAATATGCGCAGACGGCACGCTCGGTACTCTGCTGAGCTAAGTGCACACATGTGCGATGCTCAGGGTTACCAGGTTCCACAGAAGAGAAGCGAGGCACATGGAGACCCAGGAGCCTGCCCAGGGCCGCCCCAGCGTCTGCTCCAAGCCCAGGGTGCCTCTCTCTCACGAGCAGCATTTATCTGCAATAGGAATGAACTTAACTTGTAACACAAGAAGAAGGTTTATGACCCCGGTTTTCCAGACCAGACTTGAGGACAGCCAGTCTATGTGACAGGCCCAAGGCTTTATACCCAGCTTGGGGCAGAGCCAGGATTCGAACCTGAGCCCATCAGAGCCTGGAGAAGGGGCTGCCTGTTACCATGAGCTACAGTGTCCCCTTCACCTAACGGGGCAGGCCTGTGACGGTGGAGGCCGCAGAAAAGGGGCAAGGGCAAGGGAAGGGGGAGCTAGAGGCCTCAGAGGCTGCCATCCCCTGAACCCAGCACGACCCCCCCAGGAGAGGCTGGGTGTAGAGGCTAGAACACCCTGGCTTAAAGGACAGACCAGGACAGATGAGCCACTTTGCCATCGTAGAGGGATCCACAGCCTCCTGTGTGGATGCTGTCACCCTCTGAAGACACTAACTCCCTCCCCGTGGACCTGGTCATTGGTTGCCCCATGGGCCAGGGTGGCCATAGCAGGTGACTCCTCCTATAATGCAATGGAGATTACATCTGGGTCACCATGCAGAGGCAGTGTCGCCTGGTGGGGCAGTGGCTGGGAGCAGGGGTGGGTGAGGCACAGGAGGAGAGCGAAGGAGGAAAGCCACCTCCTGGGCCCACAGCACAGGCCAGCAGAAAATGTCTCTTTATTTGTTTAAATTGCAGTCAACTATACAGAAGAGAGAAAAAGGTCATTTTGAAGTGCACAGCTTGGAAGCATTAATTACACTCACACTGTTGCCTACCTACCACCACCACCGTCCACCTCCGGACTTTTCGCAGGACTGAAACCCTGGCTCCCGCTGCCCTCCTCCTAGAGGGACCAGAGTGGGAGAAACAGAAAGCGGTTCCCCTGCCCTTCCCCGTTCCGTGTTGCTGCATGTGGGCTTTCTAGAGCATTCTGTGTCGGGGCCTCTCTCTCAGCCCCAGTCAGAGGAAGCAGACAGGGAGAAGACCTGGGCCTCCCAGGCTCCCCGCCAGGCCACCGCCACCATCGCCCCTGCAGCAGGAGGAGAAAGGCTTTTCCTCTGCTGCCCACATCTCAGCAGCCCCAGGGCTCGGCCATGGCTTCCATGCGATGCTGCATCTGGGGCGTTCTAACCGTGAGACTCCTCGGCCCCGCAGCTGTTACAGACCCCAGAGGAACATAACCGAGTCTGGCAGGTTGCTGTTCTGGTTCCGTGGAGCGAGAGCCACACGCTTCTCAGTGCTGAGTGTTCTAGAGGCCCACGGGCTCCTCAGAGGACAGGTCTGCATAGATGATGGGGAACCGGCCTGCTAACGCTGGGTCAACTGGCCCCTTGACAGTTCCCGTCTCATAGTTTGCTCCTGAAAACTTCCGGTCCCCGTCACCTCAGCAAAGGGAGAGAGGGAGGCCCAGGCCACGCGTGTCAGAGCCTGGGCTGACACATACCTCCCCAGCTGTGTGATGGTCAGTAGGCAGAACAAAGAGCCTGTCCCCCAAGCTGTCCGCTTGCACAAGTAGGATCTCAGCCCCTGCTGTTCAGCCAGATTTTAGTCTTCTGGAAGACAAACCTAGCCAGGCGTCGTGACACACATTTAATAATCCCCATATTTAGGAGGCTGAGGCACTGTGTTTGAGGCCAGCCCAAACTACGAACTGAGACCCTGTATCAAAATACAAAAGTAAAAGGAAGCCAGGCGTGGTGGTGCATGCTTCTAATCCCAGCACTTGGGAGGCTGAGGCAGTAGGATCTCC